GCAGGAATTCCAAACATGTTCCCACCTTAGCCTGGACAGGATCTTTCTGCAAATCTTTACACTGGGTCTCAATTCTAGACCAAATCTTTATAGAATACTAGAACTGAAAGGGATCTCGATAGATCACCGAGTTCAGTCCCCTGCCCTCATGACAGGACCAAACTCTCTAGATAATCCCTACAGATATGTCTAATATGCACTTAAATATCTCCAGTGATGGAGAGTCCACATCCTCCCTAGGCAATTTATTTATTCCAGTGTTTAACCACCCTGGCAGTTAGGAAGTTTTTCCTAATGTCCAACCTAAACCTCCCTTGTTGCAATTTAAGCCCATTGCTTCTTGTCCTGTCAAACACCAAGAACAATTTTAATTCCTTCGCATTACACCATTTTAGATACTTGAAACCTGCTACCATGTCCCCTCTCAGTCTTCTTTTCTAAACTAAACAAGCCCAATTCTTTCAGCCTTGCCTCATAGCTCATGTTTTCTAGACCTTTAATCTTTTTTGTTGCTCTTCTATGGAACCTCTCCAATTTCTCCACATCTTTCTTGAAACGTGGTGCCCAGAACTGGACACAATACTTCAAGTGAGGCCTAACCAGCGCAGAGCAGAGTGGAAGAATGACTTCTCGTGTCTTGCTCACAAAACTCCTCTTAATGCCGCCCAGAATCACGTTTGCTTTTTTTGCAACAGCATCACACTGTTGACTCCTGTTTAACTAGTGGTCTACTATGACCCCCTAGAAGGCCTGTGTGAGAGAAATCGATTGTTCCTTTCTAAGTGGAGTATTTGTCCTTATTAAACTTCATCCTATTTATCTCAGATCATTTCTCTAGTTTGTCCAGATCATTTTGACCCTATCCTCCAAAGCACTTGCAATCCCTCCCAGCTTGGAATCATCTGCAAACTTACTAGGTGTACTCTCTATGCCATCATCTAAATCGTTGAAGAAGATATTGAACAGAACCAGCCCCAAAACAGACCCCTGCGAAACCCCACTTGTTATGCCCTTCTAGCATGACTGTGAACTGTTAATAACTACTCTGAGAACAGTTATCCAGACCGTAATGCACCCAGCTTATAGTAGCCCCATCTAGGTTGTACAGTATTTCCCTACTTTATTGATAAGAAGGTCATGTGAGACCATGCCAAACGCCTTACTAAAGTCTAGCTATACCACATCCACCGCTTCTACCTTATCCACAAGACTTGCTATCCGATCAAAGGAAGCTATCAGATTGATTTGACAAGATTTGTTCTTTACAAATCCATGCTGGCTGTTACCAATCATCTTATTTTCTTCCAGATGTTTGCAGACAGGTTCTTTAATTTATTGCTCCATTATTTTTACTGGCACAGAAAAAGTTAAACTGACTGGTCTGTAGTTTCCTGGGTTGTTCTTATTTCACTTTTTATAGATGGGCACTAGATTTGCCCATTTGCAGTCTTCTGAAATCTCCCCCAACTTCCATGATTTTTCAAAGATGGTAGCTAAAGGCTCAGATTACTCAAGGAGCTGATGGAGGAGGTTTCTGGGATACATTTCATCAGGCCCTGGTGACTTGCAGACATTAACTTTTCTAAGAAATGTTTAACTTGTTCTTTTTTTTATTTTAACTTCTAAACCTACCCCATTTCCACCAGCATTCACTATGTTAGGCATCCCGTCACCAACCATCTCCTTGGCAAAAACCGAAACAAAGATCTTTTTGTTAGTTGTTTAAAAAAGCCTCATCCCCCTCTTCTGCCTGCACAGGTGGTCTGGGGTAGACCCCTAGCATGACATCACCCTTGTTTTTTACCCCTTTGAACCTAACCGAGAGACTCAACAAGTCGGTCTCCTGTGTCCATCTCCACCTGAGTCCAAGTGTGTGCATTCTTAATATATAAGGCAACACCTCCTCCCTTTCCTCCCCCCCACCCCTGGTCTATCGTGTATATTATCCCAGCAGGTCTCTGCGATACCAACTGTGTCAGTTTGTTTATGTATTAGCACTTCAGATGCCCTATTTGTTTAGTTTTTCCTAGAAACTGAACATGCCCATTCGGGCCTCTGAATAGCCGCCTTTGTTTTAGCAGGAGCCTCACAAATACCAAGCAAGTAGATTCAACTTCCCTGGTCTGGAATGAAGGATTGGTCCTCGGCACAGAAGATCCCATGAGCCTGGGGGAAACAAAGGGCGTTCTGCCCACTGAACCAAACCTGAAACCCAGGCTTGCCAAGTACTCCGCTGTCTTCTCAGTCTCCTTTGAACTGCACAGGGGGAACACTGCCAATAGTGGGAAGGACAGCAGCCGCCAGCCCCTTCAGCCATGAAACAAGCATATCCAGGGCTACCATCTGGGGCAGAAAGAGGGAATCTCAGCATTGAATCCGGAAGGAAAAGGGTGACCCTAGGGCTCGGAGCATACAGTTGAAGACCTCTGGGCACAGACCCTGCTTCTTTGGCTCTATCCTCGGTCTGCTCAGCCAGTCTGCCTCTGGTGCCGAGAGCTCGCATGGTGCAGACGGTTTCCTGCCCATGAACGTGGCAAGGTGGCCTCTCGTAACGTGGTGGTGGAGCTGGCACCTCCTTGTTTCGCGCCATAAGTGCCTGTCATTAGAACAGCCTTGTCGCTCCACTCTGCGGCTAGGGCGATGGAGGAGCGCGAATTGCTCTGAGCTCAAGCCAGTTAATGCTGTGTCAGAGCAATTGTGGATAACTCCGCCCTTGTGGATAAATCTGTAACATTTCCAGAGAACCATGTATCACTCTCATGTAATTTTGTGATCGAGAGAGATCTTGTCCTTTCCTTTTTTTAATCTATCTATCTAGATCTTTGTATTAAGCCTTCTTATAGAATCCCTTGTCTTTTCCATAGAAACTTCGTATTAAGCCCTTTATGCTATAGGCCTTAGGAATAGGAAAATGTCATTTTCTAGGAGTAGAATAGATCTCTCCCCTTTCCTTGATTGTCCTGTTGAAACGACTGAGGTGTGAATGGAGAAGGCTGAAAGGGGAGCACCTCCAGCGGCAGTTGCAAGGGTAGAGAGGGACTGGGAGCCAGATCCAAAGACAATAAGACTTGTGAAGTGAGCTCATTGAAAAGAAGATTGGACAGACACACCTTGGGAGTCAAGCAGCAAGAGCCTGAAGGACCCTCTTTGAAGCAGCATTAAAAAAGGCATCATAAGTATCTCACTGCCTATAGAGGTGACGACTAACTGGCTGCATGAGAAGGATCAATACGAGGATCTTGCAGGGGGATCCCGGGTTTTCGTCTTGTCGACATCGCAGCATCGATCCAGATCAGCAGAAGCCCGGCTCCACATAGTTAGTGTGTGTGTGTGTGTGTATCCTATGCTTATGATAAAGTATGGAGTGTGTGTGTGTGTGTGGGTGTGGGGGTGTGTGT